CAAATCCGGGGTTTCAAACCCTCAAGATATCATTTACAATCATTACTCACCTCGAACCGGCAAAATCTCTAGCTCGCGATGCCTTTGCCCCTCAAATCGGCCTCCACGTGCGTCAAATCTATCCAAAATCAGAACGAATATGTCACAATATGCTAAGGGAACAAAGCCCAAGCGAAAGCAATCAATAAAGGGCACGATTTCTGAAATTACCAAAACCCGAGCTCCGGGCCCACAACTCGAAATTTGACAAAATTCACAAAACTAGAATCCTAATGCTCTCACGAGTCTAGCCATACGAAAATTATCCAATTCTAATACCATTTGGCCCTTCAAATCATCATTTTACATTTTTGAAAGGCTTCACCACTTTCTTCCCAAATTTCATTCCAAATCACGGATTAAATGATGAATTCAATGATAGATTTATGTACTCTAGCCAAATATGAGTTAGAATCACTTACCACGATGAATTTCTTAAAAAATCTTCAAAGAATCGCCAAAATCCGAGCTCTCTAGGTCAAAATATCAAATAAAACCCAAAACCTCGTATTTATAGAGTACCCCTCAGATTTCAGCCACCGCGGGCCGCATCAAATTGACCGCGGTCCGCGCTAGCCAGTGCGGTCCGCGCAAAAACAACCGTGACCGCACAGGCCTTCCTATGTAGTGACATGCTTTAGTATTTTGACCATAACTTTCTCTAGAGATGTCCAAATTGAGATAACTTTACCTTTTTGGACACTAGCCACGAAGAGCTACAACTTTTGTTTTGTAAATCACCTCAAAATTCTTTGTAGATCAAAAGATGTGAGCTTCTGAAGTAGGACCAGCGGGAAGGTTCTTCACACTGGCCGCGCCCACTTTTGTGCGGTCCGCACAACACTCACCGCAGACACACTTATTTTTGTGCGGACCGCGTGAGTGAGTTCCGTGGCCTGCAACCCCTGTGGACCCGCTACGGCTATGATTTTTGCACTAAAACCTCCCGGAACCTACCCGAAACTCCCGGAACTTCAAACCAATTGTACCAACACATCCCATGACATCGTTCAAACTTTCTCAAAACTTCGGTACGCTCACAACAACATCCAATCACCAAATTAACATAGGATCCAAGCCTAAGAACTCCAAGAACTCTTAAATTATTCTTTCGTTCAAAAAGTCTATCAAATCTCGTCCGAATGACCTGAAATTTTGCACACACATCTCAAATGACACAACGAAGCTACTGCAACTCTCGGAATTTCATTCCGACCTTTATATCAAAATCTCACCTATCAACCGGAAAACGCCAAAATCTCAATTTCGCCAATCCAAGCCTAAACCTTCCACGGACTTCCAAAATGCATTCCGATCACACTCCTAAGTCCCAAATCACCTAACGGAGCTAACCAAATCATAAAAATTTCAATCCGAGATCAATTACACATAAGTCAAATCTTGGTCAAACATTTCAAATTTTAAGCTTTCAACTGAGACTGTTCTTCCAAATTCATTCTGATTACCTGAAACCCAACACCAACGATTTACATAAGTCATAATACACCACACGGGGTAAGTCATGCCCGAGAACTGGTGAGCAAAGTGCAAAAGCTCAAAACGACCGGTCGGGTCGTTACAATGTTGAATCCATTTAATACTCGGACCGTGAGTACAATTTGATCCTGTAACCCTAGTTGCTATACGACCCTTGATCTAATGATGTTGTCCGAGCTACTCGAATCAAGCAACACACGCTTAACCCCAGATTTATTTATAAGTACAAATATTACTAGTGCATCGTTATGAGGCTGTACGATGCCCTCGGCATCTTTGTCGCTGAATGAGATATATCCTTCTGGGACGTAATCTAGGGTACATTTTTATCTCGTAATAGACACTTTAGTACATTTTATCATCGGCCTTTGGGGGACATCAACTCCCCTAATGATCATGTTAATTACGTGCTGAGGCTCCTCTTTTTTGACCTGCTTGTTGGCATCTCTATTTATGAAGTGGTTTTTAGCTTGCTCGCTAAGGAATTCTTGGAGGTGCCGATTGTTGAACAATCAAGCAACTTCTTCTCTTAACTGTCGGTAATCTTCGATCCTATGACCGTGAGTGATATGGTACTTACACACCAAATTAGGATCTCTCTAAGAAGGGTCGAACTGCAACGGTCAGGGCCATTTGGTTTCATTAATGTGCCCTATGGTTGACACTATTGCTTGCAGAGTTCACATTAAAATTATACTCCGATAATCTTGGTGCCTCCTTACTCTCGAGCGGCCTGTCAAACATGCTCTTGCTCATCAGGCCCCGGTCGCTCGGTCCTTGATCATTCCTCATCTCGTTCCTTGTTGGGTGGTGCCCGGGTCCAGTTCCCCTCTAATCCACTGTGTACGGGTGATATCGATCTCGGACCATCATCAACTTATGATCTATGGTTCTCTTAGATCTATTATCGGTTCTGATGGGATAAACAGATCCCTAAGGGGCCCAGGTGACTACTGGGTACTCCACCAAGTTTTTCTTTAGCTGTTGAGAGGCCATAGAACTTCGTGGGTTGAGCCCTTGAGTGAATGTTTGAACAACACAATCATCTACAACCGGTGGCAGATTCATCCATTCCATTTGGAACCTCGACACGAAATCCCTGAGCATCTCGTTATCCCTCTGTCTGACTTCCTGGTCTCTACCTTGATGGGTCCGGCATGGGCCTTCACAAAAGCATCTACAAGCATAGCAAATGAGTCGATAGAATTTGAAGGCAAGTTGTTATACCATATCATTGCTCCCTTGAACAAGGTTTTCCCAAATATTTTTAGCAACACTGACTCGATTTCATCGTCTTCTAAGTCGTTCCCTTTGATCGCGCATGTATAGGAGGTTACATGCTTATTTGGATCTGCAATCCCATTATACTTGTGAATGTCGGGCATTCGAAACCTCTTCAGGATTGGCTTCGGTTCTACTCTTGGTGGGGAAAGGCTTCTGAATAAACCTTTTTGGAGGTCGATCCCTTTAATATTGGAGGCACTCCAGGAATTTGATCGACCTTGGAGTTGTATGTTTCCACCTTCTTGTTGTTGGCCTTAATCTTTTTGTCGCCTGACTCTACCTGTTTTGTCAATGCTTCGAGCATCTTCATCACCTCGGAAGTTTCCCTGGGTTTGAGCTAATCCAGTTCCACGGTTACTTGTTCGTCCCTTTGAATATTCTCCTGGGATTGCTCGAGTTCGACGCTTTTAGAGACGTGGCTTTAGTTCTGCAACTGTGCTATCACCGCTTGTTGAGCCTGCAACATTTTGAAGATCAACCGCAGGTTCACCTCATCACCTTCACCCTCGGGCGCTTCTCGAGCCGCTGGCCAGGGTCCCCTACGAATGCTGTTTTCAGGATCAGTTGGTAAATTGATGTTGATAGCCACCTGTGAGTTAGCATCGACCGGGTCGGAGGCTGGGACATCATTGGATCGACAAGAGGCACATCACTACTAGGTATCACGTTATTATTCTCGCCATGTTTGGCCTGACTCAGCGTCAACATTAAAGTGCACGGACTGAGAGTTTGACATCTTTGGGCTAACCTGGAATCAAAAATTTTAAAGAACAAGCGTAAAATAGGGTGTGTTATGAAGATTTGTATCAAATTGGCACTATTATCCTTAGTCCCACGGTGGACGCCAAACTATTTACCCAAAAAATGAGTAACAATTAAATTTTTACGCGGTTTAAAGGATATGTGATTTAATTCAACACGAATGATTAAGAACAACATGCAAGTGAGTGAAAGACAAAATAAATGATCAAACCAATCGCAATGTGGTGACCAAACCTGATCTTAGATTGAACCGTGGAATTCGTCCTCGATTGGACCTCTAGTACAAGCTCGATCGCGAGTAAAGAACAAATGAATAATGCTTTAAAAAATAGCTAGGAGACAAAAGTAAACTTTTATTACTTTGATTTGTATGTTACAATGTGTGCGAATAAAGAAAACCTTCCCCTTTATATACTAGGGGAATTTCAGTCCTAGTACAAGTCTAAATAAGTTAAAAATCTTCTTTTTTCGGTAAATATCGATCTACAGTTGATACTGAATGGGATTCTCACCATAATATCCGGTTGACGGCAAATATTACGACCGCCTACTTGTCATGCGTAAGCGTTCTCTGCGTTTCCCGAAGTTTGGAAGCTATACTTGGTCTGGGTCCGTTATTTCACCGTGCCCGATCTCAGATACATAGTTCGTTCCTCCAGATTTCAATACGAGGGGTTCTTGGGCCTCAATTATAATCACATCGAGCCATGCTCCCCCTCCCCCTCCCCCCGGGTTCCACATCAAGGAATCGGGAAAAACTCAGCCCCAATTTTACTCGTACACAGGTACATACAATGTCTTCACTTTATATACACCACAATTTTGACAAGGTACAATGTCTAAAATTATTTGTTATAGAATAGAAAACGAGTTAAAGATCTACATTTAATCTAAGAACTTTCAAATTGTTAATAAACCTAATCTGTAGAAAGTTATAAATTTAAATAACTAAAATTATACTAGTAAAAGATAAATACTTTAATATATATGCTCGATAAGAACAAAAAAGTTAGCATTATTTTTCAATTGTATGTAGTGCTTATTAAATAACATTAACAATTGACTTAACTGGGAAAAAGTTATAAAAGTAAAATTCATAAAATCTTCTATATCTACCATTAATAATATCTCAAAAAAAAAAGAAAAAATTAAATGAGTTGAATATCTAATGGTCATGGAAGATAAGAAGGGGAACTTGTCTAATTTCCTTGGGAAAGGCCAATAACTTTGGCATAGAAGGCCACGTCCCAAGTGGTGTCCTCTAAAGTCGTAACGTGTTTTGCTCACAGAGCGCCACCCCCCATGCAATCAAAAAAGTCCAATAGCTCCGTTTCCCCCTATAAACCTTACTCTTTCGTCTTCTCTTTCTATGTATATAAGACTGCGAGTTGTTCTTCTCCTAACTCGCAACCAAACAGTCGCTAATATAATTCTGCAGAACACGTTTACCTCTTTTGAGCTTTAACTATGGAGGGACAGCAACGTAGTGGCCATGCTTATGAAGATGTTACTCACCCAACCGCGTTGCACTCAGGTGATGATTTTGAGAATTTATAAAAAATTTAAAATAGGATTTACATATTTAAAACTATAAAAAAAGTATTAAAAGTTATAAGATTTAAGGATTCAAAATATTTAAGGCGTGTGTAAAAATTGTAATGAAGAAAAATTTCTTTAACTCTCTGGATGGAATTTATGGGACAGAGGGAATAATACTCTAAAATCTGTAACAACAGTTAATTTCTTTTTATTTGCGTCGTGACTTGTGATATATTGCAGGGGATGAAAGACATGGTCAAAATCCGGTTCACGGCCAAGGGAAAGTAGAAGATGAAGGGGCGCAGGGAACCAAAATAGGACTTCCAACAGTGTTAGACGATGACCCTAATGCACCAAAAGATCGCCCTGAGGACAAAGCTTCTTCTAATTATCAGAGCAAAGTCACTGATCCTACAGGCGACAGTAAGTTTCTCTTTGACTGATTTTGACTGATCTCAAATTTGGTAGTCACTAATTCCCATATCATATCGCGGTCTACACGTTTTCAGGAATTTGAAATAGAGTCTGTAAAAAAACTTTACAATATCATGTCACATAGTAATCTGCTTCGTTATGGGGCACAGAGTTTGTGAAAGAAATGAAACTTCTGAAATTTTAGGTTTAAAATAAGTCCTAGACATTTGTGTCACTATAATTTATCTTGTTAATGATTAACTGATAATTCTAATTTATAAGTCCAAGTACATAAAAGTGACAATTCTTTGTTAGACCGACTAAAAAGTGAAATGAGAGAGGCCGGAGGGAATGTTTTATGGAGAGTCTGCCTTTGGATTACCTAAAAGTTGATTTTTGTTGAAATATTATGCGTGTGTAACAGATAAGGAGGCGGCGGGAATTACACCACTAGTTCAGTCATTCGAGAAAATGAGTGTGAATGAAGGAATAAGGCCAGAGAAAGGAGCAGGGGAAGTTGGCGGTACAGAAGAAGAGGGGAAGAGTAAAGCAACTGATAAAGGAGTGTCAATGAAGAAGTACTTGGCAGAGAAATTTAAGCCAGGAGAGGAAGATAAGGCACTTTCTGAGGTGATAGCAGGCACACTTTCAAAACACAAGGATAAACCTGAGGGAACAGAGGAAGAAAAGCCAACAGGGAAGGTTAAGGAATCAGAGGAAGTAACCAAACAAACAGGACCTAAAGATGAACATGGGGTTGCTGGTGCGGCTACACACGGTGAAGGTTCAGGAAAGAGTATTGTAGGTAGGATTAAAGGTGCTGCAAGTTCGTGGTTTGGCAAAGGTACTGGAAAATCAGTACCACAGAGCCCTACGGTCTCAGATAGTAATTAAGTGGTTTTTATGTTTGATAGTGATCCCTCTTTTCAAATTGTGTTCGAAAAAGCTGTTGTATATGCTGGTTGCGTCTTTCTTTGTTTGGTATTCTGTTTGTTTGAGCACGTCTAATCAGTTGTAATTAGATAATGAGATCTGATGTTGTTCTGGACTGGATTGGGTCGGCCATGTCGGCTATGTGCATTTATCTCTTTTGTATATTCACTTTCGATGAATTATGTCATAATGATCTTGTGTGGCTGTTTGTATATGAACCAAGAGTAATAAGAGTATGTAGTTCGGCTGACTGACTGGTTTTACAATATAGAAAATGGATGAAAAATTGTAGCTAGCAATCAATGGGATGAATCGCATCATCCATGTCAAATAACATTGATATGGATAGAAGAAGCAAATCAGTGTAACTAGGAGCTCATTGACGACATCACCTTTCTCTGTAATATGTCAGTTTCAGTTGTTCTAACTAGGGGTGGCAAACGAGGGTCGGATGAGAGCGGGTTGAAAATGAATAAGATAAAAAATGAATAAATTATTTGGTCCGATTCATATTTAAACGGATAAAAAACGGGTAACCGGCGGATAAAAAACGGGTAACCGGCGAATAATATGGAGATTCATATTATCCATATATCTTTTTGAATATGATATTTTTAGGAGAAATTTTAGCCAATTAAATTTGAGGAATCCCTAATTTGAAGTTTTACAAATGTAAAAGTTAAATCCATTAGTTATATATTCGTTATCCATTTTTCAAGTGGATAATATGGTTCAAATTCACATTTAACTCATTTTTAAAAAGTTTATTAACCAACTTATTTTTTAATAAATAATATGAGTGAATAACTATTTTTTTAAAACTATTTTGCCACCGCTAGTTCTAACTATCAGTACTTTCTTGTGCACCATTTTAATCAAACACGTAGTTGAATAGTACATTCAATAAGTTGTTCAGTGAAATGAATCGAATTGACAGACACACTGCTAGTATTTTGTTGCAACACACGGACTACACTGTAAAGTACATAGTATTACATCACAATGCACAGATATATGAAATCCAGAGAGGGCTATTTTTCTTATCTAAAATTGTTGACGGAAGGAACTTACCTAAGCATAGCTCGCTTTCTCTCAAATACATAAAGGAATTCCTCATATGAGTGAAAACTTGCTAAAAGAGCCTTCCATTAATCTTTGAAGGTCTTTGCCCTACTTATGGTATCAGTCCTGCAGCCTATTAGAACTTTGTGTTTTTATTGATCGAGTGTGTGATTCGAACACAAACAAGAGATAATTAAATAAATTAAATGGAAATAATACAACACTAGAGTTCAACTGCGTTGAAAGGAGGCTGGAATAGGTAATTATTAAGCTGAGATTCAAAGTGCTCGTGACTTTATAATGTCAAAGCTCATTTCACTGGGATCCGTTGCTTGCAATTCGACTTGAATTCCATCAAGTTCTCTCTTGAATCTATCCTTTGAGCTCGCATATACCATCTTCATCCTCACCTTTGATGTGTCAGGTGACCTAAAATCCAGAGAGAAGCTAATTAATTATGGCAGGTGATATATATATATATATATATATATATATATATAGAAACAGGTTAAAACAATGCGGGTGATGTCAAATTTGAGTTAGCTAAATAATTATATGGTACCAAGCAATGAAGAAAATCTTGCTTTTCTGGCAATTTTCAGTAGTGATGAAGTCGAAATCAAAGACAGCATAGCGGCAC